CCCGCAGACTCTCTCGTCGATGAGCCGATCGACGACCAATCCTCGCTGTCAGAAGGGTGCAGCGAACAAGAGTCCTTCTCATCCGCGGTGTCGTCGGAGGCGACAGAGCGGCCATACGGCGGCAACTGTAAGTCCGGCAGGGGCGGAGAGGGAGAGCGGTCGGTGGGCGGCGGCCCACATGGATCCGCAGGGGGCTCCGGCGGCCTCTGGGAGCGGCGTTTCTTCTTCCGCGGCGAAGTGAGAGGCGGCGCGGGAGCGGTTCTGACTGCCTGTAGTCGAGCCCGCAGGGAAGACGGAGGCAGGTCCTCGCAGTGGTCGCATCCTCCGTTGGCGAGGGCGAGCTCTGCGTGTTCCACTCCGAAACAGAGAACGCAGAAGCGGTCTCCTTCCTCGAGTGAAGAGCGGCATGAGCCGCAGGAAATACGAGGCATCTTGAAAAAGACGCTCGGCTCTTTTAGGAATATGGAATAGTAAAAAGGATACGCGTCGGATGGCGCTAGCTTGCTGGGCGGCTGAAGGTGGCAGACGGCCGGCTTCCTCAGACTCCGGAGCTCGCTAGACGGTGCCTTCTCAACGACGGCGGCTTCTTCCCAGGACAGCGGATGCGTGTAGCTCGCTGAAATGAACAGAATCAACGAACGAGCTGGGAGAGCGACCTTTATACACTGTAGCCACGCCCCTTTTGGCGGGCTGTGACGCAGTAAGCGAGCGCCGTCCGCTCATTGGCCGCGGACTCAGCGCCGCTCTCCCATAGGTTCGTGCATTCTCTCTGAGCGAACCAATGAGCCGCTAGCTAGCCCGCTCATGGTCTGCCTCAGAAGAGACTGCGTTGACAATGATTACAAAATTATGGAATAATTTTTTGGCTTCAACTTCTCAGCAAAGATGAATCTTTCCCGTAGCGTAAGCTAGCTTACGCAATACGAGAGAACCTCTCGTAAGAGAACTGTCGTAGATGCACTATGCAAACAAACAGATGTCAATAGCCTCATGTACACTCAATTGTGTCATCATCGCTGCCTGTGCCAACTATAAAGGATTCCACATAGACTTAGAGACAGTTGTGATGTAATGTCGTTTGTGTGCTATTAGTAGATCACATCCTATTGGCTTAAACAGAGAGATGATTCCTTACCAACAGTAGCATGCGTGCAGCCGCATGTTATTTCATCTTTCAACAGCACAATGTTAAAGATGATGATAATAAGTAAAATATTTCTTGAAGCTTATACAGTATGTTATTGGTGTAGTGGATGCCATGCAAATGGGCCAACCAGGAGGAGCTAGGAGCCCCAAATCACCACTTTAAATTAATTGTTCTTTTTTTATTTAATATATTATATACAAAAATTGTACCACTAATAATTTAAATCTCTTAAATTATAGAAAGTGATTATGATTCAACTATTGTTCAAATTGAACTATGAATTTGCTATGAGGCAAAGAAGAACATAATGAATGAAAAGAGGCACTTTGCCAAAAAGCAAAAATGGGATATGTTACTATTTGTTCTCTCAGCCATGTAAAGAACATGAGGTTTGTCTATAAAGGGTACATAAGACTGCTTCAAATTGCAGCTCTGCAGCTTTAAGTTATGTTAGTGCTTAGGAGCAAATGTATAGCCTACACTGAAATATAAAGCAGCCTGTTGTTGTATAAAAGCAATTAATCTAATTTCTCTAAAATAATCTGTAAATCATGTTATTTTCTTATTAAAAACCTCAAGTCAAAATGATTTAAAAAAAAATATATTATACATGAGTTTTTATTCTTAAGAATAAGAAACTTAGACTTGATATTTACTGTACATTTTAAGTCAAAGTCAAATACTAATTGCTAATTCAGTGTAAGTCTATGCATATTTTTCCACCAATTTTATCATCCACACTGCTATTTTTTCACCAATTTTATCATCCACACTGCTAAAACCATCCATTGTATTAGAAAGGTACACCTCTCTCCATTAAGTGGTTTGAGGTATCATTAATGTCTGTATGATAGACTTGTGGAATGAGTTTAAAAGTTACTTGTTCAGAACACTAACCAAAAACATTAGCAATAGTAATAATGCCTGACTTAACTTGTCTTATACTTGGAAGCATTGGATTTACTGTAAAGTGATTAAACGTCTAGGTTAAATGATCCCGAGGGTACATCATTTCTAAAGCATATCAGCCCCTTTTCACCACATTGGTATTTTGCCTGATCCCAGAACCGCACGGAAGGCATAAGATTTTCCTTGCAGTTCTTATACTCTGCATGCCACCATCTGAGATTGGCTTGTGGAATGCATTTCCTCCTCTGATGCAAACTCAGCACTTGGGGCAAACCAAAGAGAGTGGTGTAGCTTAATGCAGCATAACACCCTTACTTCTACTTCAGCTTATGTTTGAGACAGACACTCTTTTTGCAGTAAAAACTCCATGTAGTCAGTGAAAAACACACCACTGATCATCTCGCCCATTAATTCACCCATTAACTCAAAATTTGATGTCTGTCAGCAATTAAAGCCAAATGCACTTTTTTTTTTCAGTTCTGGGAATTTCAAAAACATGATATCACACATTATGTCCTTCATGGATCATTTGGGCGTACAACAATGTAAGTGTTTGGGCAAGACCCCTAGTCCTCTCATCACAGGGGCGTTGACATCATTTAAGGGTGTTTCTTCATCTATGGGCACTTTTATGTGCCAGGAGTTGGTTATATAAACTGTTCTCAATGCCATTGAGAGAATAACATTTAATCATGTATTCAATAAAAAAGTATCTGATTACAAGTATCATAAAACATAATTTCAAGTATTTAGTATTTGGAATCTGATTACGTAATCCAGGTTACATGTAACTAGTAACAACTCAGCACTGATAACCCGTAAATTCATGTCTTCTGAAAATGTGCAAAAACAGCTCAAAGACAAATGTGACCTAGATCTGGACCCTCAGAGAACAGGTGTCTATAATGTCCAGCCTCAAGAACTCCAGATGTAGATTACATCATGTGATGGGAGATGTCTTGCTGTACAAGCTTTTGACTGAGTAGAAACAGAGTTTTGGCTATAGATCTTAGATGAAGTGTTGAGCAGAACTCGGGCGCACAAAGACTCTTGACGTATAATGCTATTTTTGGCCAGTCAAACGGTGACCGGAACAAAGGTGAGGTGATAACTTAAAGAGCCAAAGGGAAGACGCAGAAAGCCGGGTTACATGGATTTGAGCTGACTGCTCCAGGCTTGATTTGGAAATCATTATGTCCAAAAAGGTCTGGTATACCTAATTAATCACATTGGAAGAGGCTTGTTCAGTGTGTTCGGCAGGACAAAACAGGTTTGGTACATTACAGATCCAATACAAAGCCTAGAGCTGTCTGTTGCCTAACTTTGACCACAAAAGGGTCCAGTTGTGCTGTCAGAGATAATTTTCTATATAGTATTCCTGCTTGATTTCAAACGATCTGGGTCTTTTTTTAAAACTCTCACCAGATCTTATCCATCAGAGCTTTCTGTACGGTAGCATAATGTTACTGAATACCTTTTGATTGTTTCTTAACACTGTAAATGCTTTAGAAATTTCTGATGTATGGATAACAATTTGGGGGAAATGTTTGGTGGAGTTATGATGGGCCAGATCCCTTTGAAGCACTGGATTTGGAGACCACACTGTCTGTTCTTAAACACTAACTTTTTTGGAATTTACTTTCCCTTCTGCAATTCCAGGAGAAATTGGATGAACTACAACTGACTCCTCTTTCAGGGAAGGGTCCAGAACTCTTCCTTGTGTGGTTATCTGCTATGTGGATGTGTTTTTGCACTCTATTCCAGTATGTTTCCAGTGCCAAGAATAAATCCCGGGTAATGGGGCTTCCAACGAACTGGTGAGATCTAATAAGCTTCTGTGTTTACCGTCTTGAGAAGGAGCCATTTTAAATCATGCAATACCAGATCCCGAGAATCTGCCAGCACTTTAATTTTTTTTTTTCATTAGGAGAAAATCAAGTTCAAAAAATTATTTAGAAGACAAAATGTCAACAAGTCACATGTTTAAAATATTAGCATTTTATAAGTGAGGGTATGTTATAGGATAACACAATATAAGCATTAGGGCACTTCAGACACTTTTAAGGAATGGATTTAATTTAATATTCTGTCTGAATTGCTCTTGTGTTTTGACTATTAAATTCAATTCACTTTACATTTATTTGTACAGCACTTTTCACAATACACCTCATTTCAAAGCAGCTTTACAGAAAATGCTGTGTCCATATTACAATTTAGAGTGTTCTGTTATCAGAGGTAACTGTCTAAATGATGTATTTCAGAAATGTACATACAAAATTTGTATTAATTTGAACAATGTAATAATATAATGCAGAAACAATGGGCTCTTTGAACTAATGAAGACTTGTTCGTTAACAGATGATTATCAAATTGGTTTCACTTTATTTGGATAGTCCCTTTAACACATTCAGTGGACCATAAGTGAAGTTGCACCAACATCACTACTAACTAGGCTATCACTAGAGTGTTAGTAGAGTATAGGTAGACTAGTTGCATGTTAAGTTGTTAAGTATAAGTTGACGTGTAGTTGCAAAGTCACTTATAGTGTGTAGAAAGTCTTTTGGAGGATCAATACAACAAAGAGTTGGCAGACATTAAGCAGACAGTCTACTGATAATGAGAGTAGATGACATGTAGTTACAAAGTGACTTATAGTCAACAGAATTAACCGAATATTCAAAAGGGACCATCAAAATAAAGTGTTACCATGAAATTGAATTTTTTGGTGCACTATACATTAGCTTTGACTTTTCTGCAGACTAAATCCCGGCCTGCATCATTAAACCAATGCAATGCGATTTATAGTAGCGAACTCACAATAGAGCTTCACTATGTTTTCACATAACAACACCCAAAAATGTCGCTAGTTATGGAAATGCCGTCAAAACTCTCAATAGTAAGGCTTCTAAAACTCCATCTAGGCAGTTTTGAACGCCAGTCTTACCTTTCCCGCACGTTCCTCTCTGGATGAAGATGGTGGGCGGCTGCTGGAGTTTCTGCGCCCGGTTACTGACTCTCTTGAGTTCGCAGATGTTCCTGTAAGACACCCCATCACTCCCGCATACGGGATCAGGACTCTTACACACGCACACGCCGGTCTTTCCTCTCCTCCTCACTGTAGTCGTTGTTCCGACTCCATCGGACACCGCGCACTCCAAACCCTCTCCACACTCCGGGTCACCCAGTTTCCCTGTCCCGCCGCAGAGCTCATTCTCGCCGGCCGCGCACACTGGGCAGCAGTCGCACTGGTCCAGGATGTCTCCGGCCAGACAGTCGGTTGGTATGGGCGGACACAGACTCTTATCGCAGCGCTCCGGACAGCCGATCACATACCGCTTAGAGATACGCGCATCGCAAAGTAACGGCACCAGAATAACAGACACGCATAGAACCACCACCAGACGCATTTTAATGTTAATATTAGGCTAAGTAAAATCTCAAGTGACTAAGTTATGGAATACGTCACAGGACGAATACAAATATAATGCTCGTAAACTTGACAGGTTTTGTTGTGCTGTCGAATGTCCGCTATCTTGCGCTTAAATGAGAGACTTTATAAACCTTGAGGTGTATAAACAGCAATGCCGATTGGTTGGGTGTGTATGACGTCAACGAGGTGGGTGCGAGCTGCAATGGTAAACAAAGAGGCCACGCCTCAAGCATGTGTCTAAATATTGTGGTAACAAATCCCATGCACAGCTGTTGAGAGATACAATGTCAAAGAAACTTAAAGGAACAGTTCATTTCAAAATTAAAAAATTCTGTCATCATTTACTCACCCTCAAGTTGTTTCAAACCTGTAAGAATTTATTTCTTCTGCTGAAAATAATGGAAGATATTTTGAAGACTGTCGGTAACCAAACAGACCCTATTTAGTTGATGGGTCCATCAACTGTCTGGTTACCGGCATTCTTAAAAAAAACCTTGCCTAATAATACATTTTTAACATTTTTTTTCTTGCACAGTATGTATTTATCATTGCAAATACATTGCTGCCTTTATACAGTATGTTAGGAGGTCCTTGCAAAGAGATCATGATTTTTGAGTCCTTGTGATCAAAAGTGTTTGGAATCCATTGAGTTGTATAATGAAGGATTTTAGCTGAAAGGTTGAGCTTTCTTCTCAGAGTATACTTTTCATGAAAGTTAGTGCAAGTTGCAGGATACTCATCACTTCACACAGATCTGGTAAATACAACTGTAAGATATGATAGTCATTCTAGGCTAAACATTGATCCAAACTCATGCACTTTTAGCATTGTGGTCAGATGCATGATTTTGTTTAGATGAGTTTGTCACAGAGTTGCAGGTCCAAGCTGTCCTGCAAGCTAGAAGCGATTTGCTCCAGCATTACAAGAGTGGATATCCTTGCTTTGCTTACTGATCCTAGGAAACATGTTATATTTGTGTCTTAATATTCTGAAATTTGAAGCCATGACTTCCTCATGGGGCCAAAATACGAAATGAATAGAAATCAAATGTGTCTGGTTAGAGGAATTTTCTATGGCAATAATAATTTTCTCCGTAACTTTCTTGATCAAGGTCAACTCAATTTGCAATTGTGTAAAGAGAGAAGAAATGTGTTCTCCCTGCTCTTTTTTCACAACGCCAGAAAAAAAAACTTTTTTTTCAACATGTTTTTGATAAAACTCGGCAGGTTATTTTTAATATAGGAATATTAAATGATAGAAACAATTACATGACAATATTAAACATGAAACTAAAACCACCAGAAGTTAGTTGCAAGTCACTGTCTTAATGATTGAGTCATTGAATCATTCTTTCAAATGATTCATTCAAAACAGCTGATTCATTCAGGAACTGAGCAAATGTGTGGCGATGTTCAGCTGTATTGCCCTTGAATGTCACTAGAGGGCACTCCTAATTACGCACACACAGAGGGGTGTACTGATTACGCACCTGTTTCCAGTAATCACTCTCACACCTGCTTCTAGTTCCACACCCATTCTCACGATCACTGTTTGCTAATGGTGCGTTCTATTATTCATCCGTCTCGTAGATCTGAATCGGACGACAGACGTTGCCTAGCAACACGCCCCCTTTCCTCGGATTTCTCCTCTCGGACGTCGGACCGTTAGGACACTGAGCTAGAATTCCGTTTCGGAATTCAAGATGGCGCGCCCTGTGACTTGTAAGAATGAATTGTTTTCATTGTTTACACATAGAAAGTGTGGACGTGACGTCAAATCCGAGGTCCGAGTCGGTTCGTTGGCTATAATAGAATGCACCATTAGTCTTGTCTTACTATTGTGGACATCACCAAGCGTTTCCGAGTCTAGTCTAGTCTAGTCTAGTCCTGTCCTGTCCTGTCTGTGTGTCTCTGACCATCGCCTGTTTCCTGGATTCCGTTTCGTCTGCCGCAGGCCTCTGTCTTCCCGCCTGGTTATCGGATTCGGAGGCCCCGTTTACATGAGAATGCTCGCGGGTGAAAATGTAAAAATATTTCATCGGATGTGCCTTTCGTTTACACGGCGGCGGCGTTTTTGGGGCTTAAAAACGCAAAAAAGTGAAACCACCCTCCAGAGTGGAAATCTTAAAAACGCTCCACCGTCGCGTTCCCGTGTAAACGGTAAAAACGCAAAAGTCTGCTTAACAGAGCTGGTTGTACGCTCGGACTTGGTGTTGTTGTGTGCTCCACATTGCCACCTAGCCACCTGGAGTGCATAATACATCGAATTTCACACACTTTTGCTTCACCATCTGCACACAGATTTCCCACCCAAAACGCTTGTCTAAACGCAGAATAAAGTGATAACGCAACGCCGCTTTTGCGTTTTCTCTTCAGAATCGTTTCCATGTAAACATAGCCTGAGTATTGCCTTGTGCCTTTTGCTGTGTCTGCTGACTTTGTCTGTGACCATAGGCTGATTACCCTGTAAATAAATTCACGCTGTGTTTGGATCTACCTGTCTCTGGTTGTTCATGACAAAGTGGCTATCTTTGTAAATGGGTCTTTGAATTATTCACTCAACCTATCCATTCAACAAAACACCACTGTATGTTGTTCAGAGACTTTCAATTGTTCTGATGTGTGTGTGCAAACAGAGCAATTTTTTTTGACAATTATTGTTTCTAAAATGTCACTTACTATTAACTTCTTTGAACTGTTGTATAAAATCTATACCACATTTGGAATTGTGCTGATATTTGGGGAAGGTTGTTGATATATATCATTTGTTATAAATATAAACTTACACGCAGGGGCATTTTTGGCCCCACGTCTTGAATATTTTCACATTTGTGTGCATGTTTTTATAATTTTGTGGATTTTTTATACTGCTGGTTAACTACTCACAACATTCTAAAATTGTGGTGGTGAGATTACAAGGATAAGTAGCACTCACATTTTCTTTGCAAACTAAATGGTGATGCCAAAATATCCACTTTAGTGTAAGGGTATGCAATGTCAGACACTTCCAGTTATTATAGCTGTACAAAAACAGACCATTATGCTGCTTGATGTTGCAAACTGATATCTGTTATCATATTATTTTTATTTACTTTTGCAATATAGGCATGGTGGTTTGTCACATTTGATTTTTATTTACTGTACTGTTTACTGTACATATTTACTGTACTGTTATTCTTCTCGTTATTTCCCTATGGCTCTTAACTTTAATGATCTTTCTTGGCCATTATTCTCCTCGGTTGCATCTTTCCTGTGAAAGCATGTGTTTGTTGAAGTTACTGTTACCAGCATCACCTCACTAAGGGTTTATTTTAAGGGTAGATCAAGGGTGGGAATGATATGATGATATCATCAGATTGTATTGATTCCAGAAACACAATTTTCACCAAACATTGCAGCACAGCTACATCTACTAAGGGCTAGGACTAATTAGCAATAATGCTTTACGAAGGAATGGTATTACATTTTGAAACAACATACTGTATGTAGATCAGTAGACTGCAATGACCTGTATAATAATGGTGATGTTATGAAAAAAAGTTATAAAGCCAGTAATATTTAGTGCTCAGTGTAGCAGTGTCTTACGTTGGATATGGCCTTCCAATGTAGGTTAATGGGATTGGGGGACAGAAAGCTCTCAAACTAAATCTAAAATATCTTAAACCGTGTTCCGAAGATGAACTGGGGTCTTACAGGCTTGGAATTACATAAGGGTGAGTCATTAATTACATAATTTTCATTTTTGGGTGAACTAACCCTTTGATCATCTACCAGGCGAAAAGTGTAGGCAGACCATTGAGGAAATGAAAAACACATTTGAAGTATCCTTAATGTCTGTAAGTAAATGATTTCTAGATGAGTTACATGCTGAGCTTAGGGTAGATGCATTATCTCATGCTTTTTAAAGCTGCATTTATTATATGTTGGTCCTTGAATGCTGAATAAAAGTATAAAAAAGTATATAAGAAAAATCTTACTGAGCCGTAACTTTTAAATAGCAATGTATTGTTTTATCACTAAAAAGACATTGATATAGAGTACTTTTACATGACAATATGCTTAAAACGGAGAAGTTATTTTCTGTGAGTTTTCTGCGTACAGACAACACCATAGGGGATTATCACGCTTCCGGGTTTCATGGGCGGGATTTGTCAACTTAGTGCATGTCTACTTCCGACACAGTTCAACAATGCCTGAGACGAATGCTATATGTCACTGCTCTGTTCCACTTTGTAAATCTAACCAGCAACACCAACCCTACTTAAGTTTTCATGGATTCCCGACTGAATTGAGTATAAGAAAGAATAAAACTTAGGTAGCACGTATGTTTGCAGCCGGCACTTTAGTGAATCAGACTAATTTACCAGGGATGCTATATAAATAAACTGTCCTATAAATATAAAGTCCTTCATCAGTTTGCCAGCGAGATCGGTGATTCAACGGAAGTGGCAGTGCACAAAGATCACAGAATCCGGAAGTGTATCAGCGTGATAATCCCCTATTGTCAAAATGATCCCCCTTAAAGCTGCGTTCACCTTACTAGAGACTTTGGGTGCTTCTCATTTCTTATTTGTGCATCCTCGTTTCCTTCCCTTGCTTCCTTTCCTTGCGTCTCAGCTCCACCCCCTGTAGGACGCGAGGGAAGGAAGCGAGGAAAGGAAAGGAGGACAGAGGAATCGAATAAAAGCTTTTTTATATCCATTGGAGTACTTGATCACTCGAGCGTCACTCCACAGTGTCATCAGCAGCGCTAAAAGGATCTGCCCTTATGATGTTGAAGTTTGGTTATTTAATAAATTCATAATAAATAATAATAAAGATAGGCTATAGGCTACTGTTGAAATATCTGAGATGTGTGGTTTATATAAACTGCAAAGGTAAAGTATAAATTAAAATGATTGTGACCGATGTGAAGGGGGAGGAGAATTGACACGTGCGTCACGTTTAGTCAGTATAACAGTTCCGCGTAGGATGCACCTGTGTATCCTCGCTTATGACTCCTCAGGAAGCCTCCTATCTCCTCGATCCTCGACTCCTCACGGTGCAATTAGAGAATTGAGATGTCCTTCAAGATGGCTGAGCTCGATCGGTTTCCGGGTCATAGGAGGGAGGACGGAGGAGCGA